GCAGGGCAGGGGAAGTGTGCTTGGTCACTAGGCAACTTGGCTAGGCAACTTCCATCACAGCTAGATGTACCTGTAAGTAAGAATCCTTTAGTTCTGAGTTAATTGTTAAGAGTGGATCTAAAACTAGAGATGAGACTTTGGAAAGGAAAAAGTTAAGCTAAATTATCACATCCTCTGGGCCTTCTCAAACAGATAGTCTAGATGCTTAAGTCTGTTCTTAGAGAATCTCTGCGGTATCTCAGATAAGATACTTTTGTCCATCCTGGGATGGTCCTGTCCAGATGCTGCTAATGACAATAATTACAGAAAGTCCTGAAATTATGGATCCTGGTTGCGTTACTGCATGAAGGTTATCTAAATATTCTATTAGTAGAGGGGAAATTGTGCCTAGTGAATGATGGAAAAGCTACAATAACACATGAGAACTTTAAAGCAGGAAATGGCTAATAATCGAAAGCTAATATCACCAAGACTCCTCGAGCCTTGGCTGCAAGCTCTGGAAGAGTCCTTAACTCTTCCAGGTATGGCTTTGTCATAATCAGCTGAATTCCTACTCCATATATTTTTACAGCCTTCAGCAGTTAATAAAGAAGCTGCTCTGGCCTATGGCGAGTTAGGTTATAGCCAGGCAGAAAATCCAAGAGAGAGACAGGAAGAAGAAAGGCGGAGGCAGAGGAGATGCCAGCCTGCCACCCAATGAAGAACAAGATGCCAGCAGACCAGTAAAGCCATGGCCACATGGCAATACATAGATTAATAGAAATGGGTTAATTTAAGATGAAAGCTAGCTAGCAAGAATTCTTAGCCATAGGCCATACAGTTTGTAATTAATATTAAGCCTCTGAGTAATAATTTTATAAGCAGTTGAGAGACTGTGGGTGAGAGAGATTTGTCCTGACTGCAGGCCAGGCAAGACACAGGAAATCTTTTGATAACAGCTGTACCTTAGCCAGGAACAACTCACACCCTCAACTGACTAGGCATAGATGGGGAGTATGGAGGGAGAGCCATGGGAAGGAGAAGAGATGAGCTAGGTCTCTCACAGGCACTCATGTCTGACTAGACAAGGGTGTCACATGGAGGAAGTTCTGAGCAATCACTGCCCATGTTTACAGTCCATTGTGACAGAAAGATGGAAGGGACCTATCTATGATGGCCGTTCTTGGTTGTCAACTTGACTACATCTGGAGGTGGAAAGATCCACCTTCAATCTGGTCCATACCTTCTGCTGGCAGCCTCTATAAAGGACATGGAAAAAGGAAGCTTGATTTCCCTTTGCCTGCTTGCTCTTGCTAGCAACTCCATTCCCTTACTGGCATTAGAGCCTGCTTCCCTTGGATTCCAGCACATGCTGAAGCCCAGCTGAGACATCCTGCTGAACAACTACTGAATTCTTGGACCTTCTGTTGGTAGATGGTCATTGTTGGATTAGCTAGGCCACAGTCTGTAAGCCATTCTAACACATTCCATTTACACACACACACACATACACACATACACACACACACACACACACACACACACACACACACACACACACACGCGCGCGCGTATGTATATGTATATTTATTCTATCAGTTCTGTTTCTATAGAGAACCATGACTAATATAGTGTCATTCCACTCAAAGTATGATGGCATGTAAGGTGGCAGCAGCAATGTTGATTCAAATTCATGAGTCTATGGGGGCATTCCTATTCACAGTGCCTTTAGGAGAACCAAAAGATATCCTCTCTGCTTTCTGTCATATTCTACTACAAGACACTGG